GTTAAAAATCAGAAAGCCCTTAAATTGATTTCTTTTTTGGATATGTTTAAATTAATTTAAAAGTCCCTTTTTTTTATTTTTTTTATTTTTTATTTATTGTTTTTAATTTAATTATTTGTTTGTTCTAGTCTGTTTTTTTTTCTGTACTAGCGATGCTCAACCTAAGGCTGAACAATTGAGGTTATTTTCAGAGATTTGTTAATGTACCTTGTTTGTTTGTGTTGTTGAAGAATAAAAAAAAAAAGTGCCAAAAAAAAGTGTTCTGGTAACTGGCATGTTTATTGAACCAATCAGATCAGAGTAAATCAAGTGTCAGCAAGAAGCTCGTTTGATTGGCTACATGATGAAGGTGGACCCGCCCTCCTCTTCGCGCTTGCAAAACTTTTAGTGAGTGAGAGAATCGTGTCAAAACTGTCAGCGCAGAATTCGGAACTGTGCAAACCAGGTTACTTCGGGAGCATTTACCCTACGCACACAACAAGTAGTTTAGACAAGTGCAACGTTTTATTTTTTACGCCTACAGATTGGTTTTACACTTTCAATCCGGTTTGCAGTTCTTTAAACTGTTCACAGGCTTGCAATGATTTTGGCCGTATTTCGGCGAAATAAACGTGGCAAAAGTGTAAGCGCGGAAAAATGGAAGTCAGAAGAGTACAGATAATGTTTATTTTGCGTTAACGTGAAGCTGCAGTTTCACAATACATTAATTACACTTGCGAAAACCAGCAAAATGTTGCAGGTTTTTTTTCTCTTACGCATGAAACACAATTTACACCTTTACAAATCTTCTCTTGCGCATGCAAATTTAAAGCTGCAGTCCGGAACTTTTCCTCTTTGTCGCCATCTCTCTGTTCGAAATCTGTAACTGCAGTGATTCGCGGAATTATTATCTTTACGTGGGTTGTAAATCGGCATGAAACAGCGCGGATGAACACAGTGCTTTGAGGCGAGTGCTGCTGTCAGTCACCGCGCTGTGTGGATACTGGCATACAGAATCACAGATTCACTTTTTGAAAGTTTGACCAACATAAGAATTTTCATAAGAAAATGTCTTCTGAACAAGTAAGTAAAATCCATTTTTGTTCTGACCAACTAAGGGGGAAAAAGCATTCGACATGATAAGCTTCGTTAGATTTAATCAACGCGATTTACAGCAACCGTGCAAATTATAGCCTAGTTTGTTCTCAAATTGTTCATGTTAACAACATCACATCAGCATTGCGTGACTAATGTTACATTTAATGTGTTTTATGGTTACCTGTGTAGTTCAGAATTCATATTCTCCATAATAGCAAAACGAGAAAGGCACAACAAAGGAAACTCCATAACTGTGTGAATTAAGAAAACGTACTGTTACACGATTGAACTATTGAAATGTCTTACTTGTTCAGCAGAAAAAAGCCGTCTCTTCTTCCGTTTTGAACCCCTTCAAAACACGGAGTTCACGCACTTTTCAAAAGCCCCGCCGATGTTTAAATCCTTGTGTTCGCATGAGACGGTTTCTTTCTCTTTCTCTAGCCACCTTAAATCCGAAGTACGAAGTCTTTTGGGTTTTATAACTGCTGAATCTCCAGTTGACACTGATGATTGTTGTTTGGATCTTTCTGGATGCCATAAGTTTAATCATGTAAAGTGCTGCGAGAAAAGCCTATACATCTAAACATCTCGTCACGCGCAGTATTGCCGGCTATAGCCGAAACTCCTTCTTCATGTGTACGGGTGTGACGTAATGACGCAAAGACATACTCGAATTTCCAGCGGAAACCCACCAGTACCACTGGAATTAAAATCATTATTACAAGCTAACCGTTTTAAATCTAGCTATGGCGAGCAGATAGTTTTGACCACTGGCAGAATTAATTTTTTTTAATATAATTATTTTGGATTATTTTTAACTTAAAAAAGTTACGGACTGGAGCTTTAATTTACGCTTGCAATCTTATGCACACTTTCACAAATCTCACCCTGCGCATGCAATTCTTTTAGACATCATTTTACCTTCATAGCTGGATGTATTAATCCACATACAAAAAAAATATAAATGCAAAACATTGCAAAGGCAATTGAACTTCATACAAGTTGAACTTCGTGTATATTTGATATCAGAACAAGAGGACGTACTTCCATCCGATATTTCTACAGCCTGTCAAAGGTACAACTGTGGAAAGCACTCAGATGCTCTCTCCAGTGTACCAGAGTATGTAAATTTACCTTTATTAGCTGATTATTCTGATTATGTTCAAGATGGACACATTTCTAACATAGCCCTCCTCTGCGAAAACCTAGCGATCAGGTGTTTTCAATCTCATCTGAATTGAGCAGTGTTGGGGGTAAAGCATTACAAGTAACATGCATAACACAATCAGATTACTTTTTGATGTTAAGAGTAAAGAAACGCATTACAAGTAACGTGCATTATGTATCACATTACTTTTAGATGTCAGTGAAAATTACATTCTAATAATACAAATACATTCACAGTATAAGTATGAATTGTAGCTGAAATATAGTCATTTATGCATGAGGTTGGACATTTCCTTTAAAGACATAATATTTGTTTTATCTTTTAATATTTTATTTAAATATCAAATAATAATAATATTAAATAAGTAAATAAAATAATAAATAACTATAATTAAAAGGTAGGAAGGGTTATATAAAAAAGCTAATTAATGTAATATGTATTCCTTTATTTTATAGAATGTTCGGATTTGATTTTAGAGTTGCCAATATCTTTTCAAAATGTATACTTATGCTCTTAATTTCATGTTATCCTCTCCATAGTGTACTTTAGTAACTAAATCTAACCAATCATTTAAAACTGCAATTCTTGCTTTCTCCAAAATTTTGTTATGCTTTAAAAGCTGTAACTTTCAGTATTCTAAATAAGTACAACTCGTCTTTATTAAGTAGCATATTTCCTATACCCACAACTATATTTTGTATCTTTGTCATATTTGGATTCTTAAAAATGTGTTCCCTGAAGTACTTCTGTTCAAATTGTATTTTTATTATAAAAGTATAAAAATAAATGAGTGAAATGAGCTATAAGTTCACCGCAACTTTTCCAACATCCTAAAGGTAAATTATTATAGTTAGAAGATATATGGTGTTATAAAATATAGCATATTAATTTTCCAAGCAAAATGTATATTTTAGTCCGAATTACCGCACCCCCATTTGGCGCATATGCGGGCAGCAGCTCTCGTTCAATGTGAAGTTTAGCAGCAAAATGAAAATATTTGCACGACTTTCTAACATTTACAGATGGAGAATATACAGTACCTGTGAAATGTAAGTTTTGCATTGAGGAAAACACCATGTCTCAAACATACAACACAGCACAAAATATGCTACTTGCTGTGATGAATCAATTTAATCAATGATGACCTTCATCTTCTTCTTCGGTAGACTTTATTTGGCAGCTTGCAATCATTGTGCAATACCGCCTTCTACCGGACTGAGGTGTGATCACATTGGGACGTCATAAAAATACCTATACCATCCTATAGGATCCAAGCCCAAGTTTCAGCTGGCGCTGCATGTTCAGCTCCTCCAGCTTCCACCCTGAGCTCCTCAACCTCCAGAAAAAAAAAAAAAAACTAAATTCTACTTGCTAGTTCGGTTTCTTTAAGAAAAGCTATCAATGATCTTCTTCTTCTTATTTTGTTTTTATGGCGGTTGGCAAACCACCTTAACGGTGCATTACCGCCACCGACTGGGCTGGAGTATGAATCAAGAGATATTGGAAATTAGCTAAAAAAAAAAAAAATTTAACAAAAAATTAAATCCTTTTGGCTGCGTCTATGTCTCTCAGATACTTAATGGATGTTTTCCCTAATAAACCTTGCATTGTAAAAATTATTCTGATTGATCATTCTGAGAGACTGAAAAAACTGGTTTCTTTCTTGACTGTATTTTGTGCACTGAAATAAAATATGCTCCACAGTTTCTAAATGAGTACAATGTTGGCATTTCCCTGTTGGATGTTTCCCTATTAATTTCAATGAAGAATTGAGCCCTGTGTGTCCTATTCTTAACCGTGTAATTATACTTAACCTCTCTTCTACTCCTACACTCTATCCTTCCTATAGGCTACCCACTTCTGGTTGTATATTATATAAATGTCTCCCTTTATCCTGATCGACCCAATACTCCTGCCATTTTGATCTTGCATATGCTTTAATTAATATTTTAGCTTCAGTTTTGCTATATGGAACTTGTAATATTCTATTATGTTTTAGTGTTTGTTTTGCAAGTTTATCAACCTCCTCATTCCCTTTCACTCCAACATGTGCAGGTACCCAAAGAAACCTGATTTTTAAATCCTTTACATTTAACTTATGTAAAACCATACATATTTTATGAATTATATCATTTCTTATAGATTCCCCAGATTTCATGCTTTCTAAAGCTGAATAACTATCAGATATAATCACAGAGTTATTTAAATCATTTCCCTCTACCCATTCCAGGGCCAACAAAATTGCAACCAGCTCTGTTGTGTATACTGATAAATTATCTGTTATTCTTTCCTGACATATTACCCCATTCTTTGGAATATATACTGCTGACCCAGCATGTCCTTTCTTTGGATCCTTGGAACCATCTGTAAATATAAATGTATATTCAGAAAAATGCATATCCAGATAACAATTAACAATATCCTTTACTGCTACTTCCTTTGATTTGTTTTTGATTTCCTTATGAATGCCTAAATCTACATCTGGTATAGGGAAAAACCATGGAGGAAGCTATCAATAATGACCTCTAGGGCTGCTTAAGAAACGCGTGCACACGCAATTATCCAGACTAGATAAACCTGGATCAAATTAGTGGGATTGCATGAACTTAAATGACCTTTTATGAAACCACTTTAGCCCCAACTTATTTGTTAGGTTCATTCAAGTCAGGTGTTGGAGATTAATAACTCTTTTTTAGCGTCTTTTATAAGACAGATCTCAGGTGATGGAAATCCGTGTTATTTTAAAAGCCCTGGCTTGACGCTTGTTTTAGAAAGTCATGGTGATGGTTTAATCTGTAATCAAGATGGCAGTTTCAAACTTTATGTTTTTAGTATTTATGGGTCACCAACTGGTGCTCAATGGTAAAGTTTTTTTTCACCTTAGTGTAATGTTTCAAAAGTTAAATACATATGTAACTTTATTATTTTTTTAACCTTACATCTTGTTTTCAGGTTTTGCTTCTCCAGTTGGGCGTCATTTATACCAGACTGGTATTAAGCAATTATGTGTGTAATTCTTATGTGGTTGTTAACATTATGCCCTTTTGTTTGCACATATGTGTACTTAAGGTTGAGGCCTGATGACTTCCAGTATTAAAGTTAATAATGCCTTTTGTTTTCCAGGTGGCCCCTTGTCTTTTCCTTGTGGGATCAAACAAATTCCAACATGGCCAGTGGTAGCGAAGTCTGATATGGCGGTTGTGCTTTCTTTGCAGAATGCATCTGGGCTAACTGTCCAAAAAGGTGACTTTTGTGCTGATGCTATGAGGTTGACCTAGACCATGAGGGAAGATAACTACAGCTCTTTTTATTTTTGCCCCAATTTTCTGTAGGCATTGATGGGAAGTTGCAGGAATCCAGCTCTCTCCCCACCAAGGTTGTTGGGAAATTGCCGGAATCCAGCTCTCTCCCCGCCAAGGTTGATGGGATGTTGACGGAATCCAGCTCTCTCTCCACCACCAAGGTTGATGGGAACTTGGCGGAATCCAACTCTATTCCCGGAAAGGTTGATGGGAAGTTGAGGGAATCCAGCTCTCTCTCCACCACCAAGGTTGATGGGAAGTTGATGGAATCCATCCCTGTCCCAGCTAAAGAGTCCAGTCATGTGTTCACTGAGGTTGATGGGAAGTTGACGGAGTCCAGTCATGTGTCCACTGAGGTTGATGGGAAGTTGACGGAGTCCAGCCCTATCCCAGCTGAGGTTGATGGGAAGTTGACTGAGTCCAGCCCTGTCCCAGCTAAAGAGTCCAGTCATGTGTCCTCTGAAGTTGATGGGAAGTTGACGGAGTCCAGCCCTATCCCAACTGAGGTTGATGGGAAGTTGACGGAGTCCAGCTATGTCCCCACTGAAGTTGATGGGAAGTTGATGCAGTCCAGCCCTGTCCCAGCTAAAGAGTCCAGTCATGTGTCCACTGAAGTTGATGGGAAGTTGACGGAGTCCAGCCCTATCCCAGCTGAGGTTGATGGGAAGTTGATGCAGTCCAGCCCTGTCCCAGCTAAAGAGTCCAGTCATGTCTCCACTGAGGTTGATGGGAAGTTCACCGAGTCCAGCCATGTCCCAGCTAAAGAGTGCAGCCATGTCCCCACTGAAGTTAATGAGAAGTTGACGGAGTCCAGCCCTGTCCCAGCTATTTTCAGTCACGTGTCTTCTGAGGTTGATGGGAAGTTGACGGAGTCCAGCCATGTCACCACTGAAGTTAATGGGAAGTTGACGGAGTCCAGCCCTGTCCCAGCTGAGGTTGATGGGAAGTTGACGGAGTCCAGCCATTTCCCCACTGAAGTTGATGGGAAGTTGACGGAGTCCAGCCCTGTCCCAGCTGAGGTTGATGGGAAGTTGACGGAGTCCAGCCATTTCCCCACTGAAGTTGATGGGAAGTTGACGGAGTCCAGCCCTGTCCCAGCTGAGGTTGATGGGAAGTTGAAGGAGTCCAGCTCTTTCCCCACTGAGGTTGATGGGAAGTTGACGGAGTCCAGCTCTGTCCCAGCTAAAGAGTCCAGTCATGTGTCCAATGAGGTTGATGGGAAGTTGACGGAGTCTAGCCATGTCTCCACTGAGGTTGATGGGAAGTTGACGGAGTCCAGCCTTGTCCCAGCTAAAGAGTGCATCCATGTCCCCACTGAAGTTGATGGGAAGTTGACGGAGTCCAGCCATGTCCCAGCTAAAGAGTCCAGTCATGTGTCCACCGAGGTTGATGGGAAGTTGACGGAGTCCAGCCTTGTCCCAGCTAAAGAGTGCATCCATGTCCCCACTGAAGTTGATGTGAAGTTGGAGTCCAACTATGTTCCCACTGAAGTTGATGGGAAGTTGACGGAGTCCAGCCATGTCCCAGCTAAAGAGTCCAGTCATGTGTCCACCGAGGTTGATGGGAGGTTGACGGAGTCCAGCCATGTCCCCACTGAGGTTGATGGGAAGTTGACAGACTCCAGCCCTGTCCCAGCTAAAGATTGCAGCCATGTCCCCACTGAAGTTGATGTGAAATTGACGGAGTCCAGCCCTATCCCAGCTGAGGTGGATGGGAAGTTGACAGACTCCAGCCCTGTCCCAGCTAAAGAGTCCAGTCATGTGTCCACTGAGGTTGATGGGAATTTGACGGAGTCCAGCCATGTCCCAGCTAAAGAGTGCATCCATGTCCCCACTGAAGTTGATGTGAAGTTGGAGTCCAGCCCTGTCCCAGCTAAAGAGTCAAGTCATGTGTCTTCTGAGATTGATGGGAAGTTGACGGAGTCCATCCATGTCCCCACTGAAGTTGATGTGAAGTTGATGGAGTCCAACTATGTACCCACTGAAGTTGATGGGAAGTTGACGGAGTCCAGCCATGTCCCAGCTAAAGAGTGCATCCATGTCCCCACTGAAGTTGATGTGAAGTTGATGGAGTCCAACTATGTTCCCACTGAAGTTGATGGGAAGTTGACGGAGTCCAGCCATGTCCCAGCTAAAGAGTCCAGTAACATGTCCACCGAGGTTGATGGGAGGTTGACGGAGTCCAGCCATGTCCCTACTGAGGTTGATGGGAAGTTGACGGAGTCTAGCCATGTCTCCACTGAGGTTGATGGGAAGTTGACAGACTCCAGCCCTGTCCCAGCTAAAGAGTGCAGCCATGTCCCCACTGAAGTTGATGTGAAATTGACGGAGTCCCGCCCTGTCCCAGCTAAAGAGTGCAGCCCTCTCCCAGATGAGGCTGATGGGAAGTTGACCGAGTCAAGCTATGTCCCCACAGATGTTGATAGGAAGTTGACGGAGTCCAGCCATGTCCCAGCTAAAGAGTCCAGTCATGTGTCTTCTGAGGTTGATGGGAAGTTCACAGATTCCAGCCATGTCCCAGCTGAGGTTGATGGGAAGTTGACGGAGTCCAGCCTTGTCCCAGCTAAAGAGTGCAGCCATGTCCCCACTGAGGTTGATGGGAAGATGACGGTGTGCATATGCTCTAAAGTCTCAAACAGATCTAGTCAATATCTAAATATGCCACTTTCTGATCTTGTTTTTAGTCAATAAAACAGTTATCTTTCTCAAAGTGCTGCTTTTATTAATCTGCTTTAGGACATGTTATGCAAATCATCTGTTCAAAACAATTCCAACAAAGTGATTCATGCCACTTTAAATGACCAAGTTTACTTTTTGTATTCCTTAATCTATATTCTAAGGGTGAATTTACATGACTTTTCTTTTTGATAATTCTGTTTTGATCAAGAAATGAGAATCACTAATATTATCAGTTTACCTCACCTAAAAGGTGAAGATAGTGAGCTAACACTAATTGCACTGTAATTCCATGCCATTGAATGTTAAAAATTAAAAGGTAAATGCACATTGTTCTAGAAGGGGGCATCATCCCTTACATTTATTGAAATTGTTATGCTGATAATATACATTTTTTATTTTTTGTTAAATAGAAGTATTTCCAGTGATACTTTTTCAAAAGAAACACACAAATGCATGTCTCTGCAGTCTCTGATACGCAGCAGCATCCACAAATGAAATGAACAAATAAAATGTTGAACTTGGAAAAATGTTTTTGTGCAAGTGCACTTGTTAAATGAGGGCAGATTGTATGAAATGGATCGATCAAAAAACGTTGTTTATTAACAAGCTGTAGTCACGCACTGACAGAAAAACAAGTTAAGATTACATTTATTTGAATGCATGAGGGAGGACGATTGCGTGTATGAATTTGTCCTACAAGTCTGTGCGGCGTCTCTTTACCAATAGTGAAGCTGTGGGTTTAAATTACTTAAAAAAATAAAATACATCTATGCTATAACTTTAAGTTTCTAAGCGATTTTTGTAAATAAATTGCAGGACGGCGTTAACGATAGGTTCTTAATGATTCTGTGTGCGACTGTGCGTGCAAGCTACTTTTTGTACGTGTGAGTTTAAGACACAAGGAAGCAGCGCGTTAATGACGGCAACTAATTTGTACAGAAACCATTTAAAACGCGTATTCCCCTGATCAAAAAGAATATCCAGATGGCATAAACTATACTCGTGATTCAACGACTGAAGCAATGCGAAATTTAACCAGGGACAGAAAATGAGAAGGTTTTGAGCTGAGCTTTCACAGAGTTGAGCCGGTGGAGATTGAGAGTGTGAGCTGACCGGGACTGAATCTGCAGCGCGGCTTACTGAGGGCCTGCTGCGGCAGCGTGACGCTGGAGTCCATTTGTCCATTTCTCTATGGCAGGAATTATTGAATTGTCCGGTTTAGAAAAATACGTGGAAGGAGATCGCGGATGTTGCGCCTGCGGTGGTGAGGACCCGTTTGTTTGGCAAGATGCCTGCGAGATAACACCAGAGGATTGCGGCAAAGGTTCCTCAAGGACGAAAGATTCTTCATCGGACGGGAAGAGCTCGATTCGGACATGTTAGGTTGTAACGCTCCTCTTGTTATAAATGTAGGTTGATTATCTGAAAGTGCTCCTCCAGAACATTGTTAATAAAACAACATTTATGCCCCAGTTCAGAAGCACACAATGTAATTTCCTTTGGAACAGAGGATGTTTTATTCACCGCGACTTTTGAATTTTTGGCCCGCGACAGACACTCTCCCACCTAGCGACTAGGAAACGCGGCCTTCTGCAGCCTACACTGAGCTAGTGGACGTGTTAACTCGTGCTACTGAGAAGCTCAAAATTGAGTGGCCTGACAAGCCTTGTGATTCTCAGTCCTCCAAGCCCGTGGCCTATCACTTCGGGCCCCATTAGATGGAAGCTAACATTTTTCAGCAATCTTCATTACAAGATGTCAAGACCCTAGTCTTTTTTTATGCGGCGGCCTCTGATTTCACCAACCTAGTTGGTTCTGTGGAGCAGTGCAATACTAGCATTCCAGCAGTTGAGGACACATTGGCCTCTCACCTTTCGCCTTCTTTCGCTCCATCTTGGAAGTCCCGCCCTCTTCTCCCATTTAAGCCCTGCAAGACCACCTCGGCCCTTGTGGGCAATTCCTACATGCCGGCTTGCCAGGTAGGTATGGGGCTTCATATCATGGCCATTCTTTAGGCCTACCAAGTAGACGTCCTTAAAGAAATGGATGAGGGTGGGGTCCTGACACCGAAAGCCATCAATGAGCTCAGCAGAGCGATTGACCTGGTGCTGTGTGCGACTAAGCACACTGCACGCACAGTTGGTCACAGGATGGTGAGTTTGGTGAATGCCATCTTTGTTTGAATCTTCATTGCACAGTCCTTTGTCTCATCGATCGATCTCAAGTTCAAGTTTCTTCAATAAATGTTAAGGCTAATATTCTTTTCTTTCATTCTTTAGCCCCTTGAGGTTAAGAAGGAATCTCTTCCGATCCACATGTCCATCAAGCACGCACGGAGATGCGGTCATTTCAACAAAAAGCCGTGTTTATTGATCACAATCTCTGGTTTACTTTTTAGAACAAAAATACAAAATAAACATCCAAGAAAACGCTATCAGTGTGAACAACGATATCATAACATGCGATTGAAGAAACTGTGGCTCTCCATACTCTAACCTGTCTCTGCCAAACAATCCTACTCCATTATTAACACCTGCACTCACGCACCGTCCAGGAGGAGGAGCCAATAAATTTACTTGACAGGTTAGTCCAAGTATTTAACATTAAACATAAAATTCCCTTGTACATTTAAATCATAATGTTTTGTAATACATAATAAATAAATCATTAATCTCTACTAGTTTATATTTCTGGTAGTGCACAAAAATTCTAACACACGGCTCCAACACAATGAGATTCGTGAAAAGGAGAACGTCTTCTTACTAGATGCCCCTATCTCCCAGTCAGCTTTATTTGGAGAAGTGGTTAGTTCAGTGGTCAGTAATTCCGCACTGCTAAGACACAATCTGCTGCCCTTAACCCTCTGGGGTCGGCTATCGCACTGGCGCAACAAGACTCAAATTACTCTGTTGATTTTGATTTTACATATAAGTGTCGTACATCATTAGATCATGTTAAGTGTCTATTTTTTTTGTGGATACTCACAATAAAAACAAAGTGTTCTGCTTTTTGTCAAATAAAGAAAAATAAACATGATGCGAATTTTGCCTTCTCTCTGTCAGTGAAGTTCATTCTGAAACGCGTCCGAAAATGAACTGTAACTCAGTAAATACTTGTCACACAGGCACAAAAGATTTTTCATTATGAAGCTGAAATTCTCTTCTTTTAAATGAAGTAATTTATATAAAAAACAAATATTCTCAGTTTATGTAATCTGTATGAAAAGAGAGAGATGTCAGTCTTTTTCCTTTCAGCTCATAGTTTATTACGTGTTAATCTGACCACGCCCGCGGAGAGCGCGCGCTATTCAAACGCAAATGTTGAGGTAAGCCATGCCAACGCCCACATCAGCTGGATAAAACATCCAGTTTAATAAGAATCTTGTACTTTACCTCGTCTTGCTGCGCTGTGAGAAATAATACTATTGTAATAATCCTGGAAAAGTTACCTCAGAAGTGCTGGTAGTTTCATTTCGAGGAGCACGGATTCAGCTGATGTAGTAAGTTATTTATTCTTAAGTGCTTTGTTCTAATCGCGTTATTGAATAGTTTCTGTAAACTGCACAAAGACTGTTTAAATATGAATTGCGTGTCTGTGTGTGTGTGAATGAATGAATGGCACAGACACGCGCGCGATGTTGTTTACTACAGATGTACATCGCATCTGTGCGTTCATTCACTCTCGCTCCTACATTAGTAAACGTTATTTTTACATGAAGACATCCAAACTATATTGCTATAGCCTACTGAGATTTGTTCTAATCGGGATATAGAATAGTGTCTGATGACAACATTTCGTTGACTAGTTTTGGATAGATTATTACGTTTTTACTATAAAATAGACATCAAATAAGCTTTTGTTAGACAGTTTCTGCTCATATGTTAAATATATAGTATGTTTTGTCAAAAATAAACTAATCAACTGTTATAGTGTTTGTTCCAAATGCAAGCTATATCAAAATAAAAAATCCTTAACTTTGAAATATGTATGATAAAATGTATTGGCCTACTTTAAAAAATAATACTTTATAAAGACATTTATGGAAAAAGACAATTTTCTTTTCAAGATGTTTCCAACTCTAACTTTGAACCAATTCTGTAGAATGGCCCATATAACCTATTTGGACAGGATTTGTTTCCAGGTATGACTAAAAATGTGCTTTTGACTTTCATTTATATTTTGATTATATATATATATATATATATATATGTGTGTGTGCATGTATGTGTATATATATATATATATATATATATATATAGTCCTTGCATTCTTTCTTGTGTGACACACCTGAATGAAAGGCTCATTATTATGCGGGTCTTTGTCTTCTCAGGTGTGAACCACCTAATTATTCATGACAAGGGGTTGGGCCGTTCACGTCCCCATGCATATTGCCTTTCCAAACAAAAATTTTTTTTTCACAATTTAAAATAATCTATTGTTTTATGTGAATGATTAGGCAGGATAATTTTCAGATCATTTTGAAGCAGAAACTCTTGGCGACAACATCCATTAGTCAAAAGTCTTGTGGACAGATATTTTGTGGCCTTATTTCAGAAACTTTAATTTTTTGTTTTTTCAATAACCACGCATAAATAATATTCTCTCAAAAATACAAACATGTACATATATGTTGCTCACATATTATGGTAGCCCTGTTTGTGCTAAATAGAGTGTAATTTCAACTGTGCCATTAATATGTTTATAAGCAACTGAAAAAAACACAAATGTCAGGGCATGTCAAAACATCTCAAGGACCCCAAAAACACCTTAGACCCCAGAGGGTTAAGAAGTTAATGCTTAGGAGGGCTTGTGAACCTCCCACTCCTGCTTTCACACCAAGGGACCACCTCACACACAGGAAGGAGACCTCTTGGAGGAGTGACGAGCCGAGACATCCACCTCCTCTCACGGTTTGGAGGGCTTGTGCCCGCCCCATGTCCCTTCAGCACCCTCTTAAGCGCATTGACCTGAAGCAGCCAGATAAAGATACAGATTTAGGTTACAAACACCATCTTCCTGTATTGAAGGACGGAGACACTTCAGGCTATCTCTCCATAATGCCTCTTCTCGCTCGAGCCGCTTCACTCACAACAGGAGACACATCTGGCTTTCTTCCAACGTCAGATGCTCCAGCCAGACCCCAAAATAACCTCCTCATTGACCCTCATGGGCCAGTCTTCGCTGTCAGAGGCAAATGGTACTCACTGCAGAGTCAAATGACGTCCAGCTCCTCCTCTCTGGACGTCTAATGGGGTGGAGGGATAGAGTTTTGGTTAGGGCCGATCAAGCCCTCTTCCAGTAACTTTAGCTTTGTGCCCAACACCTCTTGCTGGCAGCCACACAAAAAGTCTGGTGACCAAGCTCCTACCAGAGGCCATTTATATACAACCCTTATCTTACCGTGTGGTAGCGTGGAGGTTTCTGCCAGGTGTATCACACACCGAACGACAGTTCCATCACAATCCTCCTTGCTTCGACGAGGTTAATCCCACTGTTACGAACAGCGCCCTAGAGACTTCTGTTCTACAGCAAGAAGTGACGTCACCCCTCCTGAAGGGAGCGAAAGAGGAGCTTTGTGCCCAACACCTCTCGCTGGCAGCCACACAGAAAGTCTGGTGACCAAGCTCCTACCAGAGCCCATTTATATACAACCCTTGTCTTACCATGTGGTAGCGTGGAGGTTTCTGCCAGGTGTATCACACACCGAGCGACAGTTCCATCACAATCCTCCTTGATTCGACAAGGTTAATCCGGCTTTTATGAACAGCGCTGTAGCGAAAATGAGTCTGTTTTGGGGAAATTATTTAACTCAAATGGGGAATATTATTCATTAGATAATGAATATGTAATCGCATACATAAATTAAATTATCCCAAATAGGGAATGGACTAAACATTACCATATATGAATAATTAACACGATTGATCGTAGTAATTATTGATATTTGGTTTGGTTAAGTCAGATTAATTGTCAGGGTCAATTTACATGTGATTCCAAATTAGTTTGTCATGCATCCTGGTTCGTCCTGCGAATCGGAGATGAAAACTTCCTTATATCACAAGATTACCTGCCTGTATACCGAGTGAATATTTTCCGCTGGCCACACGGAAGTATCTGCTCGTATACGGCACTTTCAGATGTTTACAATAGTTAACCGAGGTAGAGCTTTGGTAACTTACAGATCTTTGACATATTACAGAGACTTCAATCATGGGACAATGAGACAGATTCGATTCAAAGGATTATGGAATTTTAATAACACAATACTAAGGGTTATATAGACTACTAAAAATCACGCAGGAGTAAATAATATGCATATCAAAACAAACAATTAATACAGGATTGCAATATGACGTATTTAAAAGGACACAGTTAGAGTGAGAGAGAGTGAGAGAGAGAGAGAGAGAGAGAGAGAGAGAGAGAGAGAGAGAGAGAGAGAGAGAGAGAGAGAGAGAGAGAGAGAGAGAGAGAGAGAGAGAGAGAGAGAGAAAAAGACAGTTCAAAACAGTTCAACAGAGACCCAAAGGATTCCAATATTAATCGAGACAACTTTAAGCAGCACTTAATTGAGATTTGTACGTTACTTGATTTAAACACGGTCCCTTTGTGTTGAGTTGTGTTACAAAGGCAGCGTGGTTGGAGTTGTCTGGCGCGTCTTCCGGTAGGAGGCAGATGTTTGCGATTGCTTCAGCTGCGGCCCGTATGAGAGGCGATTAATCTTAAACTTGTTTCGTTCTTGAATGAAACCGAACTATCAACTGAGGTAGATCGAAAGAAAGCAACTTAGATTTAAAACAAAGTAGAAAAACGACGAAGAAGGAAAACTCCGGCTGGAGTTTAGCAGGAAAGTTTAGGCATCTCTCTCTGGCGTAGGAAACTGCACAGAGGATAAGGTGGCGGTCTATTTTGAAGGAGCGAGGGACACGCCTTCCTCACGTGTTTGATCCAATCGTGTTGCAGGAAGGCGGGTCGTCAGACCTCGTGATTCACGCCTTACGGATCATGTGCATAGGGGATAAACTTGTTCGAAACACACTTCTTAACTAGTATTAATAAAAGCATGCATCATATTACATTTTGGGTTGATGATTCAATCTTCTTTGATTATTCTGATTACAACCATACCAAATTCGGCATTCCTAGGGCTTAGTGAAATGCAGATACATGATTTTCGTGATTAAAACGGATGTTAAATTGGTCACATATCATAACAGCTTACAGTTATACCAGTTTTGTCATCAGGGAATCATGAAAACACAACCACAAAACATTATACATTTACAAAAGGGGATTTTTGATCCCATGTGTTCAGAGTATTTCGTGTGTGTTCATGCTTATGTATGTATGTTCAGAGTTCATTGACCGATGGTGACGGGGGGGGGGGTGGGGGGGGGGGGGGGGGTGAACTCGCGACCAGTGATGGGCAGTAACGCGTTAGAAGTAACGCGTTACTGTAATCTGATTACTTTTTTCGAGTAACGAGTAAAGTAAGGGATTACAATTGAAAAAATAGTAATTAGATTACTGTTACTTCCCCGTAAACAGTCTGCGTTACTGCGTTAGTTAACCGTGATTTTGTTTAGTGTCGTGAGACTGTCTCGTGACATGAGTCGTGCGTGAATAACAAATGATGTATGAGCGCCGCGACATCAGTGAGAGACGACTAGAACGAGGGAGAGAGCAGCAGAGCTGCCAACTCTCACACACGCTCGCTCACACGCACACCCCCGATTTCTCGCGCTGAAGTGTCAACCCCTTCGGTCAAACGCCTGAAAGATGAGTTTATCTATAAATCTAACTGTTGAGCCACATTTGTTATTGACTAGTTACACCGCAAATTAGTTAAAATCTCCCGGAATTTAGAGCGAGCGTGCATGCGAGACAGAGACTGTGCTCCATGTAGCGCGCACACGGACAGAGAGAGAGAGCAAACGCGAGAGACCTTGCATGTGCAGAGAGAGCATCCTGATCTAGAAACAGGACCCCCCGTTGGAGAATGTCAAAATTCTACCTCAAATCTGAGCAAGCATATGTCACGAGACAGTTTTACACGGTTAACTAACGCAGCAAGCCGGTACAGGAACGTGAAACAGGAATGTGAAACCCTACTGAAAAAAACCCTGGCCTGAACACCCAACTGACATGACCGCAGCGGCTACCTACATGCTGATGGGATATAATATATAACCACTGTTTCACTCCGAAAGAAAACAAAAAACGTGAAGCCAAAATGTGGCATGCAGCAGCATTTTCTGTTTTAATCAACTAATTTTTACTCCTCTCTGCACTTTACTGTTAAAAGACGTAAGTGTTAATAATTTGTAATACAGTCAGGAGCGAGTTTCATTTTAAATGATTTTATTGCTGTATTTTTACATCTTTTCAAATGAAGGATTTTACAAAAAATACATTTATTTTATATGCTGGAATATGTAGAAATTTAAGTTAACAGAAGAAGGACTTTCTTTATTTCATTAAAATATGGTGGAATGTGCAGAAAATAGGTTTAAATGTTCAACAATTTTCTTCTAGTCTGAGACTATTGCATTTAATTGAATTTTTTGCTTGCAATGTGCATAAAGTTAAAATATTGAAATAATAAAATAAGTTTAAAAAAAGAGAATGTTTCATTTGATTACATTTTGATGATGGAATATGCAGAAAGAATAGAATTAGGCTGAAAGGTCTATTGCTTTAGCGTATTCAGGTCGTGCATCATGTGTTTGAAAAGTAACTTAGTAAAGTAACTAGTAAAGTAACTAATTACTTTTGAAAATAAGTAATCAGTAAAGTAACTGGATTACTTTTTTGGAGAAGTAATCAGTAATCAGTAACTAATTACTATTTCCAAGTAACTTGACCAACACTGCTCGCGACCAGTCCCGTGTGAGCGTGGGTGCTTCGAATTTGATGAGTTTAACAACGGCTACAATGGCCAGTTGTCTAATCTCACAATTCTCTTCTGTGTGTGTGTAAGCGAAAAACCCCAAAGGGGATTCCACGTGTGTGCGCTTATCTGAATGGACAATGTTCGTCTTGTCACCTTCGGAGGGGTTCTTCCACGTGATTCTGATTCCAAGATGGGCCCTTTGGTCACATGTCTGTGTCATATGTGATAAGCAATGCATTTCTTTGTTTAACCATTCGTGGCAGACGCCCGTGAAGTGAATCAGAGTCAGTAATTCAATCAAGTCCCATGCCCTTTACTTTTGTCAGAGTCTCTGAATTAAAAGAATGCAAAACCAGCAGTTTAGGAAAAATGGCAGATCTGACCATGGCTACAGCGCCCTAGAGTCTTCTGTTCTACAGCAGGATGTGACGTCACTCCTCCTGAAGGGAGCGAAAGAGGAGGTTCCTCTTTCAGATTTGAACCACAGCTTTTTTAGCCACTAATTCCTCGTTCCGAAGAAAGACGGGGGTCTGCGCCCCATATTGGACCTACGACATCTGAATTTTTCCCTCTACAAAGGAAAATTCAAGATGCTGACATTAAAAACTATCCTGGCGCAGATCCAAACAGGTGACTGCTTTGTTACTGTGGACCTAAATGACACCTATTTTCACATCCAGGTAATTCCATGGCACATAAGGTTCCTCAGGTTTCAAATATCGGGTCCTTCTATTTGGTCTGGCTTTGGCTCTAAGGACGCTCTCCAAGTGCATGGAGTGTACTAAATTGCCTAGACCACTAGCTCATTCTGGCTCAATCCAGAGAGCTAGGAGTGTCATGTCTTCCCAAGCTCTTTTGAAAGATATTTGTGTGGTGGAAGGTGATTAGTTGGTTCGGCAGGTTGGTCCTCTTCGCACACTTTTATCAAATTTTAGAACTTGGATCTGGATGCGGCCCTTGGTTTCCGGGTTCTTTCCACATGAACTGGTCACTTTGGTCCAGGTTGAGTTTGGTCTGGTCCAAAAAAAATAATAAAAGAGAGAGTTCTTTGGGCCAGATATGGCAGTGCTTAGCTTCGCGTCTGTGGTATATCGTTCCCATTACATCATCGCTATGCAGCGTTGAGTGAACAGGCATATACTTCTATATATAAATATATATATATAGAGAGAGAGAGAGAGAGAGAGAGTAGGGATGTGAAGGTGAGGATTTTTTCACACCGGTTAATCGACGTGTTACAACACCGGTAATACCGGTATCACCGGCGGGGGCTTTTAAATCGCTAATTTAAAGGCACATGTAAAATGCGCGCGTTTGCACGGGCATGCATAATGGTGGTCGTGCGGAGCAACACTGTTT